CCGGAAGGGGGGGGGGGAGGGGGCCCGGCGGGGGGGGTAGCGACGTTGAGCTCCGAAGCCACCACGGCGGAGGGAGACGACGCCTCCCCCGCCGCCGCCGGAGCGAACGCGGGGATGTCGGACGTGTTCTTGACGTGTCTGGACGCGGCGGACGGAGAGGTGCAGTGGACTCGGCAGTTCGGCAGCTCTGCCGTGGACGTCGGGAACAGGGTTGCGGTCGGGCCCAGGGGAGGCGTTTTCCTCGTCGGGCAGCTGGGGGACGACGCGGACTCGTCTCTGGCGGGCCCGCGGGCGTTTTTGGCCAAGTACGACTACCTCGGCAACGCGCAGGTGTGTGTGTATGTGTGTGTGTCTGTTTGGGGCGGCTGTCCGTAGTAGTGTGTGTGTGTCGCTGAGGGTTTCCCACCTTAAATCGCGTCGTCGGTGTTTGTTTTTCGCCGTCCTAGACTGCATGGAAGAAAGGGCGCCGGGAGACCTGGCCAGCGAGTACTGCTGCGTCTGCCGTGCCGCAGTCTCAGCGTCGCCAGCGCTCGTGCAGACTTCGCTGTTGTTGCGTGTCAGTTGTTTGGAAACACGAACCTGCTGCTGCGAAGGTCCCCTTGAGCCGCTCTTCCCGCGAGGCTTGGTTCTCTGGTTTATTAGTCGAAGCCGAGGTGAGGGTTGTTGGCGTCCGGTCAACGCTTTCCCGGGCTTCCTCTGAAGCAACGTTCTTCAGCCCTTTACCCAGCGGTTAAGCGCCTGTAGTGCTAAGTTTTTTGATGTGGCGCTTAATTCGTTGACCACGCCCAAACACCGGTGGTTCCCCTCATCGACCGCCACCACCTTTTGTACGGTGTTCCCTCAAAACATCATTCTCACACGATATCTCTTGTCCCCAAACCCCTGTCAGTTCACGGCGAGGCTCAACTCCACCTCTGCCCACTATGGCGTCGACCTCGCGCCATCTATCGGGAGCGGGGGCGAAGGCGTGGTCTACATGTCGGGTTACACGCTGGGCGACAGCCCCTCAGTGTTTCTGGCTCGGTTCGAGGGGTCGACGGGAGCGCAGACGTGGCTCAGCCACTTTGGCGAGGAAACAGGGATGCCGCACCTGGCGCAGTCGGTGGCAGTGGTGGAGGGCAGCCAGTACGACTTCAGCCTGGGCGTGGGGAGCGCGGCGGAGGGCGCGGCGGCGGCGGCGGCACCTGGGCCGTCCGGGGACCCCGGGGGGCGGGACGAGGAGGTCGCGGTCGGCAACGAGGCTAGGATCGTCGTGGTGGGGTACAACACGTCGGCGGCGGCGGCGGACTCGCACTCGAGCACCGGGTTCACGGCGGCGGCGGACACGAGCGGGAGCTGGGCTTGGTATTCGGCGTCAGAGAAGGCGGCCCGGCAGACAGCGATAGCCATCGGCGCCGCCGACGGGGCATCGTTGGGTAGCGGCGACGGTAGAGGCGGCGGCGGCGGCAGCGGCGGCGGCGGCAGCGGCGGCGGCGGCGGCAGCGGCGGCGGCGAGTCGTTTGCCTACATCGTCGGCACGGTGGCGGCCAGCGAGGCCTCCCCGGGCAACTACCTCTTCCTCGACATCCAGAGGGTGGTGCGGGAGAGGTCGCAGACCCCGGCCCCTACGGCGCAGCAGGCGATGGCCGGGCAGGGGGCGGCGGCGGGCTCGGCGGCGGACCCGCCCGGCGGGGCGTCGAGCACCACCGGGCTGTCTCAGGGGTCGAGCCTCTGGCTGCTGATCATCGCCCCGATCTTCGTGGTCCTATCGTGCATCCTGATGGTGGGCTACGTGTCGAAGCAGTGCGCCATCGCGTTCGGGACGAGGCCGCACCCGCCGCCGGAGTCGCTGGAGCCGGTCGATTTCGAAGAAGACGGCGACGGCGGCGGCGGCGGCGGCATTGGCGGCGGCGTGCGAACCACTCGCTCGTTCCAACGGGGGAAGAAGTCACCGCCGGTGGAGTGGAACGACCGCGCCTCCGGGTCTTCGAGCAAAAGTTCGGCGGGTCTGCGGCGGAGCGGTAGCAGTAGCAAGAAAGGGCGCGCGGCAGGATGGCCGCGCTCGGTCGTGGCCGCTTTCCGAGACGGCGGCAGCCCGTACCGAAAGCTGCGGACGAGAGAACGGGAACCGGGGCGGGGCGGCGGCGGTGGAGGGCGAGGAAGGAGAGAGCCGTCGTCCCCGCTCTCTCCGGAGAACGCAGAGGTAGAGATGCGGCAGGTGACTACTGCCTCGCAGCAGCGGCATCGCGCGCCGTTTGACCACCCCAGAGAAGAAGAGGGCTTCCCCTGTGGCGGCGAAGAAAGCGTGGCCGCGTTTGAAGACCTCTCCCACAGCAAGAGCGGCGGTGCCACGGCGGGAGCCGGCGCCGCCGCCTCCGCCGGGTGGGATGCCTTCGGAGAGGAAGAGATTGCCGGGGGCGGGGGTGGATACGGCGGGCGATCACACATTAGTATGAGCAACCCTCGAGACGGCGACGAGCCTGCGGCGGATCAGCCGTCGTTCCCCCTTCCCGCGCAAGTGTCGCAGCAGCTCTTGTAGGACAGAGACGGGTGTTTTTTGAAGTGTTTGGTGTTCGGGGTCGGGAGAAGGAGAGGAGGACGCGGACTTCCTTCTTATCGCACTTTATCGTGCGTGCACTTTATCGTGCGTGCGCTTCCTTTCCGTTCGGGTAGGCTGTTTCGCGCCTGTGCAACATACCGAGGTTTTGGTGCCTTTGGGGTGGTTTAAAGTGGTGCCTGCATATGGTATGTAGGATGATTTTGGTTGGAAAAATCTCATGAAGGTATTTTGTATTAATATCTACGAGAGTCGGATAGAATAGTCCTGATGTACCGAAATACGAATTAAATTGTCTTTAAGGTGTTGCTTCAACTTGCCTAGCGAAGCCGAAGGTGTGTACAGAATCACGAGCTCGGCCCGTGATTTAGAGGGATGGGCCTGTTGGAAGCTTTCGTTGTGTGCAAGAACTCATAAATTTGGTAAATATACTCGTTTTTTTTGGGGGGGGGGTACAAACCAGCGAGCAAACCCAGGTCCATCGAAACCGCGACGCTGGTTCTTGGTTTCGAGTCGTGGGGTCCATGTCGTTGTTGCTGGTAGCGCCGTTCGCAGCCCTTCATGGGCAACTTACGAAGTTTAACGCCTCCTACGCTGCACCACCTGTGATACGAAGGGCACATGCATGCCTCCCCTTTTTGAGCACCTCGCGTACACGGTGTACAGTCATGGCTCCAGTATCAGAATGTGGTGTGACAAATGCCCTCGACCTCTGGTATCGGAGCCCCCTCTTGTTTAGTACCCTCGGAGCAACGACTGCAGTAAGTTATTGACCGCCAGGTCTTGTTTTTGTCCCAGGAAAAACGTGGTAGACCCTTCGTGGTGAGAAGAACATCTTTTTCCTGTGGGATGCGCTGTTAGGATAAGTCTGTAGAGTTGCGCCCACCATGGTAGCTGCGTCCACCTACGGCGGCCGCGCGACGTTATCTCCGACGGCCGAACCTCCGAAAAGAAAGCTGTATGATAGGTCAAGTGAAACAACAAAAACATAGGTTTGGGTGTCCTCACGCTGGAACAAAATGGATGGGTACGTAGGAATTGACGACGCGACCAACGTCGTGCAAGAGCTCGACGCAAACGCGCTGGGTTTTGCCCGTAGTCTGCTGCCCGTCCTGCACGCTGCGCCGTGCTCTTCGTCCGCTAAATAGCGAACTTTAGCTGCTTTCGCCCCGACACCCTGTCGCCCGTGGGGGTAGCGTGTTGCGGTGCGGGAAAGACTCACTTCTCGTCACAGCAGCAGACCACGCGGTCAAAAAAACGTGCGTAGCGGAGCATATACTCGGCTCGGAGTTAGGAAGTGTGGACTTCGGCCCGTGTTCTTCCCTCAAGGAAATCATGCGCTCCAAGCAACTGCTGTGGTGATCACCGTCAAAAGGCTACATTTTTTCTCCCAACGCCTGCCGCGGACGATTCCCTCTTTTCACACAAGTCGATCCCTGATTCCCCGGTCACAAGTTGAAGTGTCCAGCGAAAACAGCTCCTCATCGTTCCTCGCTGGGGGCTCGTGGGTATCGACAACCCCCCCCCCGGTAGCTCCTATTCCGGTCTCAAGAGCCCCCACGAACCGACACTTGTGTTTGGGCCTTAGTTCGTGCTTTTGAGATCGGTGGCCTCTAAATTTCACAAACTTGAAGAAAGCCACAGCTGTGAATACATAGGCTAGTTCACCCTCTGGGGCAACATCAAAAGCCTCAAAAACTCACTCTAAACTATCTACCTAGGCTAGATAGGACGCTGCTTCTTCTCGAGATGCACCCATCCTTTCCCTCGCTCGCATTCGAGCAGCCGTGGTGGACGCGAGTCTAGACTTATCCTCCGACACGAATAAAATGCATATTCTCACCACGCACGCAGGTTCTGCCACGATTTCCCAGGGGCAAAACAAAGAAGTCTTGGCGGTTCCGAATCAACACCTGACCTACTACAGCATTCGTGGCTCCAACATAAGTTATTACCTCACAACAGGCTCCGATACAAGAGGTCGAGGGCCTTTGTCTCAACTCAAGGCGGCTCTATTTAGTACAATACAATAACTACGTCTCGATCGTCCCCGCTCTCCACGGCGGCCAGTACTTGAAGATGGCCCTCCCGATCACGTTCTCCGTAGGCAGGAACCCCCAGATGTGCGAGTCCAGGCTGTGGTTCCGGTTGTCTCCGAGGACCATCACCATACCCTCCGGGACCGTCTGCGGACCCCACGAGTACTCTGGCTCCTGCAGAGAGAGGGCGGCGTGCAAAACAAAAAGAAGCAAACAGTGGATGCGCGTAATAATAAAGCGTTAATAAACTACTGCTGTTGTCGTGGTTTGTTGAGGTCTTTGCTGCAAGTACCACGTCGTCAAAAAAAGCAGATGCCGCTTTGCTGTCCGTGCTTTCTCCCCACGCACTGTAGTACTGTACCAGCACTTGATGTAACGTGCGATACGGAGTTGCAAGAGCGGTGCATGTTTTTGGTCGTGTGAATTTCCGTCTACTGCACTGGCACAACTCCGTGAGATTCGAGTTGCAGCCCCGCTCGGAGTCGTTTCGATCCCGCCTTACCCCCCCTTTCCCGTCTTGCCTACTGCACGTCTTTCATGTCTCAGCGTCTCTGCCTTCGCTTACATATTGCTGCACTCTATCAATCTCTCCTTCCCCACCCCCCCTTCCGGTGCTTTGCCAAATGGATGCCGGTCGTGTACATGTGATCGGTGTTAATGGCCGTTCGAGTCTGTAACCACCCAGACAGTACTGTGTAACCGCAGCCGCGTTATCGGTTCATTGTGCTCACTGTGAAAAACGAGGCTATCTCTCCCCCCCGCTCCCGCTCACACACCACGAGACAAGAGTATCCTTCCCGTGCTGCAAGCCTTGCCTTGTCTCCCGCAACATGCAATCGCATGCGTTACATATCGCCGAAGAGCATTCTCCTCAAACTCGCACCCCGGCTACAACAAAATGTGTCCTCCTAACGCCTGCTTATATTGCCTCGAGACGGGGGTCCGACCATGTACGAATCGATCCGAGCCCAACACAAAAAAAATCCGGCAAGCCAATTTGTTATTGTGAAACCAAATCAAACCTCTCGGTTGTGCGGAAAAAAGGTTCGCTTGCTACACGTCGCGGGGTGTAAGTGTGCGAATGTACACAGATATGTAGATTCAGAACCAACCGCACATGGGTACATTCACCACGTCTCTCGAAGAAGTCGGTATACTGCTGTGCGGGGCGACAGGAGTCCCGAAAACCCTACAATATGAACAGCATCAGGCGCACACGCCATGCGCACCTCGAAAGTGTAGTCCTCAAACTGCTCCTGCCCGTTAACGAACAGCGACCCATCCTTGATCTGCACCACGTCGCCGCCCACGGCGATGACGCGCTTGATGAGCGCCTGCGCACCAACCAACAAATCCCGCCGTGGGGCGAAAGCAAGGGGTCATATTGGGGGAACCGCGCTCGCGCACACGTGGCAACGATTCCAGAGGAAAACAAATTGCGTGGTCTTTCCCTGCAGAGCACCTTGCGCTGCTACCTTCCGCTATTAGTCGCGAAACCAACCCCTTCCCCCCGCTCTCGCGAGGTCAATGGTCTAACGACTACGGCATGCCACCCCTCCCCCACCCCCCCCACCCCCTAACTCTGGCTCACGTCTTTCTTCCCCCTGTCGGAAAACTCCCTGAATTTGGGAGGTGGGTAAAACACCACCACGTCCTTCCTCTGGTAAGGGCGAGACAGCTTGCTCGACAGCTTGTCCACCGCCAGCTGGTCGCCGATCTCGAAGGTCGGGAACATGGACAGGGACGGGATGAAGCGCGGCTCCAGGGCCACCGATCTCACCACCAGCGCCAGCGCCAGCGAAGTGCCGTAGATCTTGAGGTCGGACTTGCCGTCTCGTTCCCACCACTCTTGGATCCCTGTTGGAGGTATTTGTGCGGTGTTTTTTTTCAAGCGGGGGGTTGCTTGTAGGTGGAAAGCTACTGCCGCTGCTGGATTGTGGGAGTGGGTCGATCGGTTGGGCAAGCGCGCTACGCTGCGCCGTGTTTACAGAGGGGGAGGTAGACTTTCGTCATCCAAGCCCAACGGTTACGGACGACTCACGCCCGATTTTTACTTGGCACAAGTCAAGTCAGAAATCAGAACGCGACGCGAGAGAAGTTGTTTTCTCTGGGCTTCGACCCTGTGGTGAGACCTGTAGGAATGAATGGCAGATGTATGGTTCGGATCGGATAACTTGGGCACCAAATCAAGTTCGAGCACGATGGCCTGTGGCCGCTGAAACTAGAAGCTCACAACGTAGGGAGATGTCCGATCTCGCGAACTAAGGATTGCACGTGTGAAGGTTGGTCGGTCAGCCGCCGCCACACAGTGTCTGCGAGGATTTTGTTTCTATTCGATGTAATTTTGACACCTTGCGAGTGATATGATACAAGGTTGTTTGGCACGAAATCTCCGTCACGCATGCGCACAGCACGAAGAGCACTGTCAAAAGTGTGCATGGTATGGATCCGTGTTGCGTACACCGCGTACGCTCCGGCAAGAACGAAGCCAACAACAGAAGATCTCAGTAGCACCAAACTGCCTCAAGTAGCGCCTCCAGCGGAAATTCCTTGCCTCAAGCTTCGACCCCACACTATATGTATTTCAGTGTCGATCGCTTTGAGTTTTGTTCGATTCGACAACCAACAAAACGTAAAACGGTGTACGAAGTTCGGGGTTGTCATCGTCCGCACGTCCAGGCACGACGGTAGACGTGCGAGGTCATGTTCATGTATTCATATACCAAATAGCACGAACGAATGCTATCGATGGTCTGTGTGTGCGAATGGACGCAAAACGAACGACTGCTGAGGTTGTGGTTCTTCGCATAGCCTTGATACGCATGCACCAGGCAACGGAGGGGACATGCATAAGCGTGCTGGGTGGCAACATGAACGGAGCTAAATTGCGCCGCATCTCTTTGGTCTATGGTTGTCGCTCACCTCCAAAAATACCACCGTCACCGCCTCCTCCCTGCCCACCGTCTCCAGCTTCCGATCGAAGACCATGTGGTACCCGCGGCGGCATTCCAACTAAAGGCGAAAGTGATCTATGGCGAACGCCACCGCCGCGTGCATAATGATGCCTCCAACCGTTCGTTCTTGCTGTTGACGTTGCCGTCGTTCTGCCCGAGATTCCTCCAAAGGCTCGAGAAAGCTGCACCAACGATAAGAGCACTAAAAAACCTACCAAGGCACGAGCGCCTGAGATACGTCGGACCATGGTAAGGTGCATGGTGAGGAGCGTCATGATGGTCGGAGGACCGGCGGATTGCGGAGGACCGGAGGGGGACACGCAACTAGGAAATATATTGTATGTGAGACAGCAGTGCGTAGTGCGTAGTCCCTTCCGGATTGCGGACCGCGGACAAACACACCTTGTTTTCGACTGCGGTGTGCAGCTCTGCTGTGACAGTCACTGCCACGGACACAGGGCCATGAGGTGAAGGAGCAAAGACTGTGTGTTTGCTTAACATCAGTTGGTAATTGATTGGTTTGCATGACCACTGCTATGTAGTCAACTAGGGGTATCATCATGACATCGTGCGCATCCTTCCTCCGGGATGGCATGTTCCCAATAAATGCCCCCCCAACGCCGCAACTACTCCCACAACAGTAATGACTGCCTCTGTTCGCTCTCTCCTGCTGTCTCTGTCTATCTCTCGTTTGCCATACACCTGGTAAATATGTTATGGCATTGTTCTGAAACGCGCAGGTCTGCATACTGCCCGTCAACAACGGCGGTTGCCCTGGTCGCAGCTGCTTGCCTACCGCTGGCTGTTAGCTTCAACTTCATCCGGATCGCACATGAACAGCACCAGCGCCACTTCGGCCGTTCGCCGGAATGGCACACCGGTATCATCGGCCGCGGCGAGGCAATTGGCCACGCAAGGCCCAGCGCAGCTCGTGGGTGTGCTTCCCGAGGTGAAGTAACTACAGCAGATTGTTGCATAGGCTACATCTACGAGAACGACCAAAGAGTGCTGATACCTCGCTGTTGATGCGACCTAACGTTGGCCGTACAACGAAATACGGTAGCTCTCGTTGTTCTCATCACTTCTGTATTCATAGTTCGCTTTCAAGCGCTTATGGCTTGCTGCTCTCCCACCGACCGATGCAGAGCTTCTGTCTTGGTAGACCTTGTTGTAGATGGTCGGACGATACAAAAAATGCTTCTGTCCGCAACGGCGATTCTCCACGAGTCGAATACTGCGTGTGCCCTGTGCCACCTGCGCCTTATGACGCATAGCGTTGGCATGGTACATTCAGGCGCACATGCGGCAGAGTTTAAAACTCGGGAACCCGCCTGCCGGCGATGCCAACACCCGCCCATCAGCATGCAAACGACGAAGCGCAAGAGTCTGTTATTGTAGTGTATACGACGGTTTCGTCTCGTGATGATCCTCACGATCACTCTGTCGGCACGCGAAAACCCCCCTAAACATGCTGCAGTGTTGGTCGGTCCCCATCGTCGATTGGTCCGGCCTCTTTCTTTTTACGCCAGGCGCGGAGGTGGCTCTAACGAGAGAGGCCGGAAAGAACGGAAAGCTTGCGAAGCTCCTAACGGATGCGGGCATTTCCAGCGTTGAGGTGTGGCATTGGGCGGGGTTCGAGGAGGATGTACCTATGTATGCGGAGAGCATTTGAGTAGGCACCACCACAAAGCAAGCAACGCCGGATGGGCTTCTTCCACTCTCCCTCCCCCCGCGTAAACACCGGTGTAGCATACAAGCGGCGAATGCTGACAAATTAGTCTACTCCTACAAGCCCCCCCCCCCGAGCCCCTGTACTGCACCACCAAACAACAACCTACAACAACCTGCTGAATTTTTCATCGTGACACGTGCGCCGCAGCAATGTAACCCCCCAAAAAGCAATCTTAGCGCACGTACTCGTGAAGAATGGCTACATCCCTTCCACACCCCCAACGCGGAAAAACGAACGTTATTCCTTGACAAGGTCCCCTGCATCGCGCACGAAGACGGGCCGGACCTACCCCTGCTGCCCGCCGCCCTCGCGGACCCGGGCCTCGCGTACGTCGTAGTCACCTCCCCGGAGGCGGCCAAGGTGTTCCTCGCCGGCTGGGCGAAGGCCGGGGTGCCCGGGGCGCCCGTGCCCGTGGCCTGCGTCGGCAAGGCTACCGGGGACGCGCTCCGCGCGGGTGGGGTTTCTCCCGTGTTCACCCCGTCCAAGGCGACCGGCGAGACTCTGGCGGCGGAGATACCTCGTCCCCCCTCCGCCCCCGCCGATGACACCGTGGCCCCGGCGGCGGCACCATCAGAGGCGGAAGAAACAACAGATGCAGGAGGGGAAGGGGGATCGTCCTCGCCAGGAGCAGGCCCTCGAGTTCTCTACCCGGCCTCCGTAAAGGCGCAGAATACCGTGGAGTCCGGATTGCGGGCGAGGGGATTCGAGGTGCGCCGGCTCAACACGTACGACACCGTGCCGGCCACCTGGGACGAAAGCGCCGAGGCAGCCGCGGCCGGAGCGTCGGTGGCGGCGTTCGGGAGCCCCAGCGCCGTCAAGACGTGGGCGGCGCGGATGGGGGTTGTCGCCGCAGGGGTAGGGGGAGCTGGAGCAGAAGGCAGAGGCGGGGGGGGAAGCAGTGGCGGTGGGGCGTTGGCCGCTTGCATCGGGGAGACAAGCGCGCGGGCGTGCCGAGAGGCCGGGTGGGCCGAGTCGGCGATTTTTTACCCCGAGAAGCCTGGGATGGAGGGGTGGGCAAAGGCTGTCGGTCAAGCGTTGGCTGCCGTGGAAACCTTGCCCTCCTCGCCCGCTAAGGCGGGGGCTAGCGCGGGGTAGGAACCACGTCAAGGTCTTCTTATTCTCCCGGTTGTACACTTTGCCGCCGCAGAGGATGGCGCTTTGTTATTTAGGTTAGTATAGGGGAAAAGGCATCACCTCGAGGAGACCATATCACTGATTGCCCTAGCGGTGGGAGATTAGCCCGCGTCGTACCACTCAAATGTATTTTCCGTTTATTGTAAGCACGAGCTCAAGCCAGGTCTCAGATCTGTGCAAGGAGGATGGAGAAGACGGCCGCCCCAAGCATCCTCTTTCGGAAAGCTAGGAAAGACAACGCGACGCGAAGGGATACGGGTGTAATAACAGTGGCGTGGGAAAACAAAAATGACCTATTTTGCTCCAGGTCGTGAGCTGCTCGATGAGCACCCGAAAACGATGCATGCACGCGCAACACACACGCACACTCGGACGTTTACACCGGGGCGTTTACACGCGGGAGAATGAACGTGTCTTGCGGTATGCCTGGCAGCGCCCTAAAGAAGACACGCAGGCTTTTATGTAGCTCGGCCAAACTATTTGGCCGATCCATCCATTTTCCCCAACCAAGCCAGTCGTGCTCAAAGTTCTAGAACTGCCTCTCTTTCTCTTGCTCTCGCTGGCAACTAGATACCTGTCGCTCGACCCGCCAGCCCGACCAACACAACTTATGCCCGTTAAGGTCCCTTTTCCTATTTCACAAAATACTTGAGACAAGAATACGCAGTAAAAAACCTTCGATCGTGACAAAATTTCGAGGCCGAAAGGTGGGAAACTTGTTTCAAAAAGCAACAAAAGGCTCAGCCACAACAGCCGCCCCCGCTTTCCGCCCCGGTATCTCCTCCAAAACCTGCGGCATGTGCGGCGGGAGAGAGACCGAAGTTGCTCTTCCGCCCCCCCGTCCCCGCTGCCCCCCCTGAAGCCTGGCCTCGGAGTTCAGGACCCCTCGTTTCCATCGCTCGATCGCAAACCTGCAACGGATATGGTTCGTTATTTTTGTTAGCATCGACGGCGATAGTACCGGCTGACCAATGAACAGACGTCAGTCTCAGTGCGGCTGAAAACAGAAAATGCTCCTCCACGGTGTATTGTTGTCCGTCGTTGGCGCCTCTCCACCTCACACCTCGCAATCTTGGTACGTATCATGTGCTCGGTTTCGAACAAATGCCAACCCGGAAGAAAATGCTTCCCGTGGTAACAAACAAGAAGGTGCAAAAGGCATCCAAACAACCCAAAGAAACACCAATAGGCGAAGAAACTGCGTCATGCTCGCCAGAGCAACATCACACAAGAAATCGTACACCCTCAAGACTTGCGCCTGGTCCACATTTTCAGGAGGCTAACTACAGAGAGTCGGTGGTACAGCAGGTGTAGGCGGCGAGCGAAAGACATCCTGACCGATAACGCTCAGGTGTGATGATTGGTACTTGCGTAGCCAACCAAATCCCTCGCTACCTATTACAATAATCTGCCATAGGATGTGGAGCCAAGTCATATCCACAAACCACTAAAACCTGTTTCTTCCGTTTGTGTGTGCACTTTCGTTTTCGTTCTCGCATGGTAGCTTACTTCTGACCTTGAACACACGCCTCCTGCATTCTCCCTGTGCGGGTTCACGCCCCCATTAGTAATCTCCCGAGCAGAGAGTTCATAATCACTTCCCGTCAATTTTCCAACAAGTTGTTCCTGCCTCCCTTGCACCGCAGTCTAGCCCGTTCGTGACTATACGGACAAGCTTCAGGTAAAGGAAGTGTTCTGTGTGATGGTTCTCCTAGGGTGGTCTCGAGAGGGAGACACTACTACACTGGCATCAAGAAGGATTGGGTGGGGATCAGACATCTATGCATAGAAAAACCAACAAGTCTCAATCGCAGAGCCTGTGTGCGTGCACACAACACACATCAAAAATAAAAGAAAACATCGCCGTATCATACCCTCGCGAAAAGCTCGTTGACGCCCCAGTTCTCCTTCGCACTCGTTTCGCAAATAATTCCCCCCACTTCCGTCGCGAAGTGTTCCGCTCTAGCTCGCGAGACTACTCGTTTGCTCTCCATGTCCGTCTTCAGGTTTGGCGGTGATGTGTATGTGGGGGGGGGGGGGGCACGGGCGAACTTAATGTGAGCATTGGAAATAACGCGAGTGTGTGAGCATGTTTTACACGAGTTGACCCGAAGGTGGTTGTTCACGCGGCTCTTGCTTCTTCATGGCGGAGGTGGAATGACTTCAGAAAACATGGGTGAGAGTTTCTTCCAATGCATGGCGAAATGTTTAGCCCGCGCCCGCGAGATGCCGGAGGCAGCCCACTGGCTGTGCTATCTACTTGAGTCGGCGAAGACTGCAAGCGCAGAAGCGGCGATCTGTGCCCACGAAGACCATGTTCTTCTTGCGACCTGGGGTTGGATGTTTCATGTACGCAGATGTGCTAAGAAACACTTCACTCAAGACAAGATGAAACTGCTGTGGAGGTCATGTCATGATATGGATAGTGCCGTTGTTGTCACCTTTGTGCATGCGATGGCAAGGACAAGCTTTCCTTCTGGAACGTTCGTTCGCAGCTCCTCCACCCAGTCCTTCATCTTCTGGAAGGACTCCTCGTCCATAATGTCAAAACATACCACCGCCACCGCCGCGTTACGGTAGTACAGGGGGGCCATCGCGCGGAACCGCTCTTGCCCCGCCGTATCCCAGATCTGCATCTTGCAAATTGTACCGTCGGTTGCCCTGCGTGCATTGTTTTTTATGTATTTATCGAGGGGACGGGGTGGTGGGGAGCGCTGTAAACTGTCCATCTATTGCTGCCGCTCTTACAACAAGCGTTAACCATTTATCCCTTTCCGAGACGGAGGATCACAGTTTTTCTCGATCACTGATTGGTGATACGAGGGAGGGACGGCAGACAGAGAGAATGCGAGGGCGTGTTGAGGGAGAGAGAAGAGGTAGAGAGACACTGCAGCCCATCGTGGTAACGTCTTCAAGACAGCAGTACTGGTGGTGTCAAACCGCGGGTGCTTCCGCCATCGGGCCTTAATTGATGCCGCCATCGGGTCGCTCTAAACACAGCCATTTCGCTTCCAAATTTCCGCATTTCCATCTTCGGACTTGGCAGTGTTTTTTCCAGGTTTGTCACATAAATTGGAAGCATTTTCCTTCCAAAATTTACGGTGCCAGCAATTTCCAAATTTTCCAACTTTCCAAAATTCATTAATCTTTTCCTCGGCCGCAAATCGAGGTTCTATGGTCTACGGATTTGGAAATTTGGAAATGTGGAAGCGAAATAGCTGCTGTTTAACACGCCACGCCTCTTGTACAGGGACCACTACCATACCTCGACAACCAGGCTTCGTAGGCGACAAGCGTGCTCTGGTTTTGCTACATTCTTCCTTTCTCTCTCTCTCTCCCTCACGTGATCTGCTTGGTCAGGAAGAAGGCGCCGATCGTGCTCTGCTGCTTGGGTGCGAAGTAGCCTTCGATGAACCTCAGCACGAGGCACGTCTTGCCCACCCCTTTGTCTCCCAGCACCACCACCTGCTCCGGTCGAGACCGACCACCCCCCCCCCCGAC